GGAGTGTAATTGGTTTTCTGATTGAAAAATCCTGCAATGAAACAAAGAGTGTCCTTATTCATTCATGTCTCTTTGTGATAAATGAAGACTTCAAACACAAAGTTCTCCAGCAAACAGGAAGAGTTGTTTAAAAACCTGATTTTCTGACCTGAACCCTGGTGGATGGCCTCTGACCCAAAATTCATGAATGAGCAGCTGATTTTGACTTTTAACAGCCGTCATAAATTAATCCTTATGGTTGAATTATAGTGCAAGCCTGCTGATTTTTCAGCTCCACCAGCAGGTTCACATTTGTGGTTTATAAGTGAAACATACTTTAACTTTTCATCTAATATCATAAAACAGCAAATACAGCCAACCCTTTGTCCTATAAATGAGGGGGTTAGGTGTCTGCTTCAGGGGCACTTCAGGGGTGGATGTTGAGGAGCAAAGTGCTGTTCAGTCACTCCCCCTGACCCATGACCCACAGGGATTTGAGCTGGTGACCTTTCAGTCTCAAGTCTGCATCTCTAATCTCTAGGATGTGTCATGGTGGCCATATTTGTTTGGTTTTCAAGGCCCTTCCCTACTAGTAGCTAAATTGGATATATCAGTGCCTTCTGAAATGAGAATCACCTCCATTTGTGTGAAATTTTCTCATAATTGCTGTGAAGTCTTGAGTAATGGCTAAAAAGTGTTTTCTGAGGCCACCCTGACCTTTGACCTTTGACCACCAAAAAATCTAATCAGTTCATTCTTGAGTCCAGGTGAATGTTTGTGCCATGGTGTTACTGAGATATCATGTCCACAAGAATATACGGACAACCTGAAAAACAATACGGCTCCGGCTCTGACTGTTGCCGGTGCTGAGGGATAAAAATTGAGTTTCCCAGAATTCCCGTTTCCAAGAGCAGAGCTGGTAGAGCCGAGCACAGACAGTGTGGACTGACTGATGTTGACATCTGTATCTGTACTGCTGTCACTCTGACTGACAGGTCTGCTGCAGCCATCAAGACATCAGGAGACTGTCAGAAACCACACACAGGCAGTTAGTGTATGATGCTGTTGAGCTGTGACACACGCCACTCACACGTGACGTGTGAGTGGAGACACTTTGTGTCACAGCTCAACAACATCAACAAAGACTCTGTGATTTCTCCAGAATTATCTAAACTACACCTCACACCTGCTGCTGTCAAATCATCCAGAAGACTTCTTTCACTGATCTGAACAAAGATATATTATGTTTTGTTTTTTTTATTATTATTGGAGAGTGGGGGAGTAGGGGGAGGTAGAGCACAGCCTAATCCGGCGGGGGAGAGTTTAGCTTAAAAAAGGCATCTCTCCTTGACTCTACCTCCCTCATTCAAAATGGCCGCCACTTTCTCCAACTGGTTAGGGGAGTTTGTTTGCTGAATCTGCTAGTGTGTTTTGTCCTAGTTGATGATGTTGTTTGTGGTAGCATAGGCAAGGTAAAGGAGAAAATAGTCGTGGTGTGAGGAGCAGTGATGGCTGGCATTAGGGGAGTGACTCTGGGACGCCAGTGATCACTGTCTAGCCTCCTGGAGGTGTCGTGGGACCAACTAGACGAAACACTGGTGAAAGGAGGTTCCCACCTGATGACCCCAAAGACATGTTAGTTATCACTGCTCATTAGTCTGTATAGCCAAATTAATACTTATCATAGGACTTAGGATGTTAAGCTTAGGGAGCTATTCACTGAGTCTGGTCCATTTTCTGTAGCACAAGTTTCTTGTGTTTACCTTAAAAATATTTTCAGTAGTGTAATATTTTTTTAGCGTTTAGAGTGTTTTCATATCTGATGAACAAGACTCTAGTGGTCATTGGAGGAACTTCAGTTTTTGGCTTAAAGGTTTCTGGACCCAAATGCAGACACACAAAGGAGCCTACCTTTGTTCAGGTTGTTGCAGTGAAGATATTTCAATGAAGAAAACAGGGTTACAGGCTGATGTGGTGACAAGATGGCTGACAGGACAGGAATCCTGGTGAGCATAGAAGCTGGGCAAAAACACTGGGACAGGAAGTAAAATCAACCACAGACACCTGAGGAAAATGGTTTTAAAATAAAACAGGAAATGATATAGAATTTACAGTCAAACAAACAAATAGAAACCCACAGACAGAGTGATTAAGAAGTCATTTATTTCTTTGTGTGTCTATCACTGTGCAGGAAGAAGAGTCCAACCTCCACCGACATCCTGATGCTGAGACACTGAGGAAAACCAGAGGGAGGGGGAGGAGAGTGACTGTTTCACCCACCTGAATCGAATATCACACCACAGCTTTTTAACCATGATTTATTACTGTGCGTTTCACTGGTAGCTAGCTCTTAGCACGCTGCTGCATCTTGAACATTAGAAGCCACCAATAGCTTTGTGTATATATTTAACACAGGGTACATTTAGAAAGAAAAAGCTGCATTCCCTCCACACACCCTGTTCACTAACATCTAATGCACCTGGATGTGTTGGATGTTTTCCTCTTTTCCGCATGTGAAACGTCGAATTTGTTTGCAAAACGCCACAAATCCTGATGCGAAGTTTATTTTTCATTTATCTCATAGAGGCTCAAGGTTGTAAATATGAACAGTTCAGACCTTATAGCACCTTTTTTTTTTTAATTCATGGTCCCATTTTGGAATGAAACTCTCCACATTCAGCTGCTGGTTCTGCTCTAAAACAGGCGAAAACGAGGAGCCAGCAGTTTGCTGCGAGCCACAAAGTCAGACAGCACCACAGTACCATGCATTAGGGCCCATTAACGTCACATCACAGACGACAGGAGAACTCACAACAGCATAACAGTCAGAGTAAATTTACACACACGACATTCAGGTTTTGTTTTTCCTCCTCTGTAGGTTTAACAGTCCCACTGAAGAAAACTAAAGGCAGGTGATTAAATCAGGTTTGTCTCAGACACCAAGCTGCACCCATACTGGACTTCTCTGTAGAGTTATGGACAAATTAACTTCTAAATGTGTGATTGATGTAATGGTTGAATAGTATTTTTAAGATCCCAGACTCAGACAGATCTTTAACTTATCATTCAACTGTATGAGCTTTATCATTATATGATTGTATAGAAGGACAGGAACTGATAATAACACCAAAACCCGACTTCATAGGTGATATACTTGCTATGCAGATGCATTATTTTGAAAAACTGATGCTACTTAATGTCACATTTTATCCTAGATTTACCCAGGTTTGAGTTAGCCTGGTTCCAGACCTCTGAGTCACTGTCACGTCTCAGGACCAGAAAGCAGAAGTAAACATTTATCACAAAAATGGCTGAAAATGTGGTCGAGATTGACAGTTACAATAATTAAAAATCAGCATTGCTGCATACATCAGCAGGGTTGGTGTTCGTTAGTATTTTACTAAATCTGATTCCTTTTCATTAAGTTTATCTTTCATTGTTTGTCAGTAACTATAGTTATATATAAAGGTTTAGGTCAAATCCGGGATCAGCTGTTGTTGGAGCAGTTCTTAGTAGCGGCTACGAAATGACTTCACATTAGCATTGATGAAGGTAGCCTAATTAAGAGTTTTGCGATAGCTACATAGCTAATGTTAGCATTGACAGCTGTTAACTTCCCAGTTTTGCTGAGAGCTTCAGCCATTGTTGTGTTTACAAGACAAGAGGTTATAATACATCCTCTGAGCAGCTACTTCTTCAGGGCAGGCTGGATGCTACAGTGACTCGGTATCAGAAAGTGGGGCTAGCTGGTTAGCATGCTAACTTGCTAACAAAACAAGAGGGATGCTTTCCACCTCAGTTGTTGGTGAGTAAAGAAATGAAGTTTGTTGATGAACCAGACTGGTAAATAAACAGCTGTTAATACTAACGTTTACCATGTAGCAACAGCAAAACTCACATTTAGCTCCTTTAATGTCAACAACCTGATATGAAACATTGATTACTGATTGATATTGATTGTGATGTGGACACAGTCTGGGTGCAGCATGGACTGATCATCATCACAATGCTAGCCAATCAGAGACTGATTTTCATTAAGGCTGATACAGGAAACAGGAAGTGAACTGGTCAGAGAAAATCAGTTCTTCAGACGCCTCAAAAACCAACGAAGAGACATTTTTTCTTCACATTATAAATATTAATAAACTTACATGCTCGTACAAAAAATAAATATACACAAACATCTTCATAGAATAAAACCAATACTTCACCTCGTTAAGATGTTGCCAAGCAACACATAAGACTTGTTTTCAAAAATGTTTGTCAGGAGAGACTGAGCAAGCGCTGGCCCTTGAGAGAGGACGATGAGTCAAGTTCAAAACATCAGTGCGTCTGCGCTATATTTCAAAGAGGCTTAAAAAACATTATCAGTTTAAACGTTACGTGCTGTTGTATGGATTGAGAATGTGGTTGGACTGAGGGGCCCCAGGGAAACAATTTGTTGTTGGACCCCTATTTAACCCCACTGTCTCATTATTTACCCCAGACACATAGAAACCAAGCAGTGATCTACAGCTGAGATGGTTGGCTGATTAATTGACTGAAAATTAACTGGCACCTGTGATAATAAACTCAACAGTTTCTGGGTTTTGACTGATGGTCAGATAAAAATAACAATAAGAATATGTTAACTTGAGCTTTAGGGAATAATGACGCATTTAATTCAATGAATAACCGACTATAGAGGACGATGAGATGGACCGGTTGTCGTTGACATTATATTGCTGTGGTGAAAATTTGTAATTAATCAGATTATGTTGATCCATATAATGTAAAGTAAATCCAGAGCTTTTGGGGCCCTTGGAGGTCTGTGGCCTCTGGAGGCTTACATTTGTTTTTGTTTTTGTTTTTGTTTTTGTTTTTGTTTTTGTTTTTCATGGTGACCCTTGTGCGACTGATGTGATGAAACTGACTCGTCCTTTCTAAACGAGCTGGACCCTGAAATCACTGGACGAAACAGTTTGAGTGAGAAAAGGAGCAAAATCAACAGTCACATCACGTCACATCATGAGACAACTCATAGTTAATAAAGTGCATAAAACAAACAATAGAAAAAAAACAGGCATCTGATAAAAACCTACATGTTTTATACATTGTATAAATAAAGTTTTTTTTCTTCGTGCATGCAGTTAATGAAGCAGAGGCTCAGCAGAGGGGATGAGATGAGCTCCATGTTCTCCTCCTTCATCCGTCTGCAGGAGAGTCCGGCCTCATGATCTCGTAGGTGATCAGGTATTCTGGATAGGCCTGTGGGCAGCAGAGAGGCGTTCACTGACACTCCGTAACAATAAAGAACGTGGTGAAACTGTGATGTTAGAACTTAAAGATTGAAATAAAGATTAATTAAATTAATCAATGAATAAAAACAAAAACTTTTAATATCCTAGGCCAGAATAAAGGATGAAAAAACAAACAAACAAAAAAACTGAAACTAGTCTGAGTGGAGGAGGCAGACAACCATGAGGAGGTGATTCTAGTTTAAATTTATGTATTTTTCGTCTTTATGGTAAATTTTATTTAAGAGCTGATAGGCCTATGTCTGATTGTTTGTAAATTTTCCAATTTAAATAAAGGGAAAAAAAATTTTAAAAGTAAAAAAACAAACAAAAAAAGAAACAAAAACTCAAGGAACAAAAAAATGCTAAAAAAAAAAACCCATTAAATTAACAAAAGTGTAAAAATGAGGAGGCGGGGTTTATGTGCTGGTTGGGAGCAGTAACTTCCTGAATCCTCTGCTGGTTGCCAGGCAACAAATGAGATATTTATGATATATATATATATATATATATATATATATATATAAATGTCAGCTAACTTGCAGCTGCTTGTGGCGTCACTCTGAATATCGAGCTCTCAGCACAACAGTGAATAAGTGTATTTTCCCAGAACACACAACTGCTTCTTTAAGGGTGGAACAGTTTGACGTGAGAGTCAGCCGCTCGTCTCTGAGACTCGTGTCCAGTTGTGTCGTTATGGTTTTGTGGCAGAACTAATCGTGGAGGCTGAGAGCGAGCAGTCAGAACTGCACACGAACCATCACTGCAGCGGGAGGGAAACATGAAGGATGTGATAATATGACAGCAGCCGCTCTTCATCTTCATCAGTCCTGCTGCTCTCCAGCCATCAGCTGCACATCATTTCACACACTAATAGCAGCGCTGATTGCCTGAGTGGATGTCTTTTCATGCTGGACGGTGAAGAGCCTCTTCTGAACAGCAGGAGACATTACATGTCTAATCGTATGCTCCCTCCACTTCAACAACGACTCTCTGCCCTTCACAGCAAAACTGAACCCGCTGGCTGCCCATCAACATAAATTATGCCAGTGTTTCCGAATGTTTGAGACAGAATTAAAGAGTTGTTTTCAATATTTAGATATCTTTGCTTTTAAAAATCAAAAATAAAAGTTGCTTTTATAACAGAAATACTGTTTTCACTCATTAACTGATTTCAGCTGCTTCTACATTGACATTTTTATTCCTCTGCGCTGGCGAGAGGCGGAGCTGGAGGCCATTTTGTTTTCATGTTGTCCATCCGTCTCATTCTCCTGGACACAATATCTCAGTAACGCCTTGATAGAAATTTAGCACAAACACAAACTAGGACTCAAAGGTGAACTGATTAGATTTTGGTGGTCAAAGGTCAAAGGTCAAGGTCACAGTGACATCATAAAACATGATTTTGGCCTTGTGAACGCAATATTTTGAGAACTGCTTAAGGGGCAATTATGACAAAATTTCACACAAATGGTTCATATTTTCTATGACTCTGGATAAACAGGGATGTAATGTAACTAGTTTGAGTAGCGGAGGGATACAACCACAAGGAGGAGATCCTGTTTTCCATCACAGTTAAGCTTCTGTCAGTTAAACTCAACACTTCCTGCAGATGTTTCACATTAAAAGCCCACCAGGTAAGACAAAGGTGATTATATTATATATGTTTTCACATGTTGTATTTACAGTCACCAGAATTAAATGTAGCTTCATCATGTCTTTAGCTAAAATGTCAGACATCTAATGAACCGTATTTGTATGACAGGAGACATTTAAATGATTTTGAATCTTGCTGACCTGCTCTCCTCTGTAGATGACGTACTCGGCGAGGGCGAGGCCGTTGACGCTCGGCCTGCCGGTCACCGAGTGGTGACCCGGCGGCGAGTGAGCCATCTTCATGGCGCTGAACTGCAGAAAGGATTTACCAAGAGTCACCCTGCAGAACAACAGGTGTCTGGGAGGGACAAGAAGAGCAAAAGGCACAAAGACTGTGATTCCCAGAGAAAACAGGATGTAATCTCTCCACTGCTGACTTCAAAATAAAAGACTAAAGAAAGACAGAAGGTAAAAAACAAAAGAGTTTAGCTCATATGAGACATTTTTCACATGCATTTAAAAATCCAACATAAAATAGATCCTACTAATGTTTCTCTCTTTTCATTTCTAACTTTACCACCAATAATTTTCAGCATCATGAACATGATTTTAAACTTCCTGTTAAAGATGTCATAAAATATTTTGAATA